GTAAAAACAACAAAAGTAGAAAAGGGCCACATGGTCCCTCAAGCATCCTCAATATTTCAGACCCATTCCAAGTACACAGATTATAACGCAAAGTGATGTGATTCCTATTAACTTCAGAGACAGTGTGTACACCCGATACAAGAAATGATAGATGCTGTGCTCGTTCTTTGAGGTATATTGTAAAATTATGTTGCTGGAGCCCTTTTTTCCTTCATTGTCAGCACAAATCCTTGTTTATTAAAGATTTAGCTTGAAGGAAATTTTAATTAATTACAGGTGCAGTAAATCCTGCCTGGGAAGTGCCGTGCTGTGTTTCCCGTGAATGGCCTTCATGTGCCTGTGCTCCTCTCCACGCTCCTGCTCCCTGACAGTGTGATTTATGGCTGTTGTTTTCCACCAGTCCACTGTTTGCCCTCTAGGAGGGATTGGTCTCCTGAGCCTCCATAATAACAGCAGCACTTTCACAGACATCTTTTAATGACAACAGCACTGCATTCAGTAAGTCAGGCTAATTGCAGATGTACCCTATTAATTGCAAAAACTAGGAGAGGTTACATATTTTACAAGCTTTTAATTTGAAACCGCCCGAGATGATTTGTCTTAAGTGTTTGGATAGAGATGTCCATAATATTCAACAATTCACCATTATTGAAACTCCAGTCTAGGCAGTTGTAGAATTCTGAGATTAAATCAGGTGAAAACAAATAGGCTTAGATGTGTTTTTACCCAGTGGCTGTTAAGTGGAGATTATATTTGCAATGAGGACATTTTAAAAAATTTCTTATTCTTTTTATAAAAGTGTCTTCTTAGTTCTTATTCAGCATCATACTCTTTCTGAATATATTAGAGATTCTGTATTTCTATAGCTAACATTACAGAATTTTCCAAATAAACTTCAGTCCTTAAGCATGCAAAGGAACTAAACATGCTTCCAGTGGTATGTATTCGAGAGGCTTGGCATCTCGTTTGTTTAAACTGTGGTAAAGTGATGTCCAGAATCCTGTTTGACAAGGTGTTCCACAGCGGTTAATGGAATAACCATGGGGAATCCTTTCATCCAGCAGTTAGGAGTTCCAGGCTCCATGAGCAAGTGGACCCACGTTGCAGGGTTTGGCTATGATCCAGTGGACATTTTATAAATGTGAGTGGTAATTTAACTTCTGCTGTATGTCAAGCCCCAGACAGTTAGAGTTGTTTTCATGTCCCTTTTCTCTGCATACACATGGCTCTGCCTGGAGTGGAATGGGCATGGAGTATTCCCGTATTTCACTTTGCCATCATCTCATGCCCTACCTGCTCCATGACCTGTAGCAGCCACTGCTCTCCTGCAGGGGATAGTGGGGATAGAGTTGGGATAGCTGCCTGCACAGAATCTCGGTGGAATATCTAGATGTGGAGGAACTATTGAAATCAACTCAGGCTGTTAAAAGTCGTGGGACTGGTGGGGGTGAAGTGCTGGAGGTGGAGCAGAGAGTGCATCTTTGGGCAGCCTGCTTTTCTTCCCTGGGCACTAGCAGCCATGGCGGGGCCGGTGGTGATGGAGTAGCAGTGTAGTCGTGGAGGAGTGGATGGAGGCCAGTGCTGAGAGGACCTGTACGTGTGTTTGTAAGGCTGTGAGCCCTGACATATTACTGCTGCATTCATCATGAGATAAAAAGTCAGGAAAGGGTTAAATCAGGTATGGCCTTCAATGTAGCATTGTGCAGGCATTGAAAATTGTGAAATACTTCCTAGATGGCAAACTACTAGTCATAGTAATAATACAGCTCTCACCTGTCAAACCTTTAATAGGTACTAGGTATTGTTGTTATTCTAGTTATTGTAGTTATACTAGTTATTCTCTAAAACAATTTTATTAACTCTGAAGTTTTGAGTATATTATGCATATGAGAAAACGGTTTCCTCCTTTTTATTTTTCTCTTGCAAAATTTTCTTGGCCCTTTTTGTACTCTTTTATACTCTATTGAATTAAAAATATTCTAATCCTAGTTTATTAAGATAATATCATTTTTGAAGATGTTGAATTTTATAAAATTTGTAAGATTGTGATTACATGAGTTATTGTATTAGGGTTCCTAATGTTTAGCTATTCTTATATTCCTGTGATAAGCATTATTAGTTTAATATATTGCTAGATTTTATTTATAAAGTAATGGATCTCTAGTGTGTTGTGTCTATCAGTTTTGAAAACAGGATTTTGGTAGCCTTATAATAATAATTTGGAATGCATTCTATCTTTTTCTGTATTTTGGGAGTTTAAATAACAGGATCGATTCCTGCTTCACTCAGGAAATTCTTTGGGTATGGTAAGTTTTTGGTGGGAAGAGCAGAACATCTTTTTCAAATTCTTCAATATTAGTCTAATCAGTTTGTCTCATTTTTCTTGGATCCATTTTGTTAATTTATTTTTTTAACAATCCTCCTCTGTCACGACACTTAGATTTTTTGGTATTAGATTGCATGCAGTGTTGGTTAACATCTTTGTGTTCTCTACACCTGTGGTCGCACTTCTGGACATTTCTCATGCTGACATCCGAGTCTGTTGTTTGGGCTGACTTTTCAGAGGTTTTGTCTGTTTTGTTTGGTGTTTTCAAAGAGTTATTTAGTTCTTTGCTTTATCAGTTCTGCCAGGTGTTTTCTTTAAGATGTACTAATGTTTGTATCTTATAAGGTCTTTCATTTTCCTTTCAGCAGATTGCGTTGACTGTTCAGTTTGGGTTCAGCCTTTCTGAATACAGGGTAAAGAATGAGGACTCTGTGTCTGCAGCTCTGCTGATGGCTATTAAAAGGAGCTCACAGACGTGACATTCAGATTGTTTGTATCCTAATTTTTAAACTTTTTGTTTTCCGTAATCTTGCTTTCTCTCTTCTGACCTGTCAAACTGAGAGGCTGTGGTCCGGTCCCCGGCAGGCTGTGGATGGGCCACTTTGTCACTGCGGCTCTGAGGGCTTTGCTTTCCTGTGTTGTGGCAGTGCTTCTTGGTGGGTAAAGGTTCATGGCTCTTCTTTCTTAGTATGTTGTCCCCTTTAAAATGCAAAATTCCCGCATGTTTCTATTCAGTTCCTCATGTCTGATATTTGTATTTCTGATTCTGCCCTGTTTTTGTTTGCATTTCCATTATCTTTGGTAATTCTCATATTTTCAACTTTGAGTGCCAGTCCAGTTTGGGTCTTTCTTAAACACGGGGCTGGGTTTTTGCCACGCTTACCCAGTGGGACGTCTCGCTGCTAATACCTCACTGTCATATGGAGACCCTGGATGTGTTTAGTCTGAAACCAGCTATCTTATTTCCTGTTTATTGTATTTTCTGTTTTCTTTTAACTTTTTCCCCTATAGTGGTTGTGATAGTTCTACAGTCTGTTTCTTTTCTACTATTTATGCTGAAGTAGCAACTATTCTTCAGTAAATGGGCGTAAATTTTTTACAAATGTATTTCAATCTGTTTTTCTCTCGTGGTTAAGAATTAAAGAGTATCTATCACCTATGCCCCATTCTACTCTTGGACAGGGTGGGATTTTTAGTACACTTTTATTTTCTTCTATTCTCACTCTAGGTTTTGTTAAACTAAACTGGAATTATAGTAACACTTAAAAATATATCTCTCTTTATATTTTAGCTCCTTTCTTAACAGTTTCATTAGTATTTAAAACAATGTTTTAATATTTTCTTACTTATTTTAATAATTTATTTTAAGAATTGGTATGTATATTACATGTAATTTTCCCTTAAAAAATTTTTCTTTTATAATAAGGTAAGAGGCAGTGTTGCCTAATAATCTAGTTAACACTAGCTTTGGAGTTGGCTGCCTTTCTACATTCAGATCCTGAGTCCACCACATACCAGCTGTGTGACCTGGTATATTATTTACTATCTCTCAGCCACAGTTTGCTCATCTGTAAAATGGGGGTTGGTAACAGGACCTCTGTCCTCTCTCAGAGTTGCTGTGAGTGCTCCGTCTGTGATGAGCATTGCGGGTTGGGGAGCTCTGCTGTCTGCTATTCTGCAGAGTGCAGCGTCCCAGGTGCGCCGCCGTCTTCCACCTCTGGAAAGGGAGTACGTTCTTATAGTGACTGCTCGCTTGCACTGGCTGAATAGAGCATACTGCACCTAGCCCATCTCTTGCTGCTTTGTTTTCTGTCCTTGCCTGTCTGAAGATGGAATTTATTTCCATTTTTTTGTTCAGCATGACTGCTAGTTTGGATCAGTGCAGAGTTCCAGGGTCACTGCTTTCCCCCTAGAATTACAGAAAGATTTTCCCTTTGCTTTCTGACGTTTTTAGTGTTGCAGAAGAGATGTCCAGTGCAGCTAGAGTCTTTTTCCTCTGGAGGGAATCTTCTTTCTCCCTTTTATTCTGACTAGAAGCTACAGCCTTTTCTCTTATTTTTCTTTATTTTCGTAATTCAGACTTCTGGTAGGTCTATGCCTAAGTATGTCTTTTCTCGGTGTTTCTCCCTGACAGTCCAGGATGTTTTGCTGTATAGACTGAAGTCTCGCCTCACAATTTTTTTCTATCATTTTTTTAAATCATTACTTTCATATCCTTTCTCCTTTGTCCTCCTGGAATTCGTGTTCCACATCGTTAGAGCTCCTGAATTTGTCTTTCTTGTCTTTTCTCTCATTTTCTTTCTTCTGTTGTAAAATAATAAATCACTTTCTATCTACCTTGTTGCTTTAAGTTTAACAAGGATTAACATGAAGGATGTTTTGGAAGAATAAAACCTGGGTAGGTGTTTACATGTTATAACTTTTTCTGGTCTTTTGAGGCCTCCCCCTTTAATAGTAGATATATTAGTCAGTGTTTACTACTTAAAGTTTAATGAAACATAAAGTAAACTTCCAGTGCTGGTAGTGTATAATTACGATTGTGTGTATTATGTTTGAGTACGTATTTATAAATTGCATTAGACCGCATCGTGATTAAAAGGTTGTCATTTTAAGAGTACTACTCATTTAATTTAACTTATTTAAAACTAGCTTTACCATTTTATCATCATTTTAGGAGAAGCTAATTCGAGATATTGCTCATTGTCATGGAATTTTGATCACTTCTTACTCCTACATTCGATTGATGCAAGATGATATTAGCAGGCATGACTGGCACTACGTGATCTTGGATGAAGGACACAAAATTCGAAACCCAAATGCTGCTGTCACCCTTGCTTGCAAACAGGTGTGACCTCTTATAACAATGAGGGTTTCCAGGTGGATAATAGTATTTAATTGAGAATAAACTCTCTGCTTTTAGTAACACACTTACTGAATCTTTCCTTTTGGCTTTGCAAAAGGAATTTGAAATACACATTTTGCCTTAATGAAGAAAATTCTTTATTCTTGCCCTTAGTCATGTTTTTTAAAGTTGTAGTTGTTCACATGACTTAATGTCTCTTGTAGGGATTAGTTGTTGGAATGTAACGAAATCCAACTCTAATCCATAATATTCAGCTTGAACAATAAGAAAAAATTCTTTCCAATCTTTTTTCCTATGTTTAAATTAAAGAATTAAAATTACAGAGCTGGCCCTGTGGCTTAGCGGTTAAGTGCACGTGCTCCGCTACTGACAGCCTGGGTTTGGATCCTGGGCGCGCACTGACGCACCGCTTCTCCAGCCACACTGAGGCCGCGTCCCACGTACAGCAACTAGAAGGATGTGCAACTACGACATACAGCTATCTACTGGGGCTTTGGGGGGAAAAAAAACAAGGAGGAGGATTGGCAATAGATGTTAGCTCAGAGTCGGTCTTCCTCAGCAAAAAGAGGAGGATTGGCATTGGATGCTAGCTCAGGGCCAGTCTTCCTCACACACACACAAAAAAAAATTAAAATTACATAAAATGTGTTTTAGAGAAGACCAAAATGATATGTAAATATGTTAAATAACAAGATTACGTGGGAGTGTTTGGGGTTAGGGTTGGTGATTGTCTGTTAAAAGGTAAATTTAATTAAAAAGTATTTTCTTTCCCAAAATAGTTCCGCACCCCTCATCGCATCATCTTGTCTGGCTCACCAATGCAAAATAACCTCCGAGAGCTGTGGTCGCTCTTTGATTTCATCTTCCCGGGAAAGTTGGGCACATTGCCCGTGTTTATGGAGCAGTTCTCAGTCCCCATCACCATGGGGGGATACTCAAATGCCTCCCCCGTACAGGTAGTGTATTGGCCAGGTAACATTGCTGGCATTTTAATATTTAAAATGTTCCTACTAAGTACTATACTTTGTAGCCAAGTCATTCAGAGTATAAGGGAAATGGCCAAGCTTGTAAATTGGTATCTGATAAAAATCACAAAAATTATTTTTGCTTGATAGCTCATATTTTTCCAGGTGAGTTTTTAAAAAACCATATCAAATATTCAAGAGCAGTCGGAAACTATGAAACGAGAGTGAATCAGTACTAGTAGCATATAATTTAGTGCAAATGAGGGTAGTGCATCTTATAAAGTGGTGTAAAAGCTTAGAAAAGGGGGACCCAGGAAGGATGGAATTGTTCTGGGAAGACAGTGAGACACGTATCCCTTAAGCTGGTTCTGGGAAAACGGGCCGAGGAGAGCAGGGGCATTCTAGATGAGAGCACCAGTATGAGTGCAGCCACATTATGTGGCCATGGGCAGTAAGGAGACACGCTTGACTGGACGGGATATGCTATGGGGGAGGAGCAGGAAAGGTGTAGATGCGAGAGAGGCAGAGGCACTCGGGCAGGGAAGAGCTGGGCAGGGAAGAGCCGCTGAAGGTGGCTGAGCAGGAGGCTGGAAGAGGGCTGTTCTTGGAGGGGTACTCAGGCTACGGGCGGTTATGGGAGGGAGGCTGGCACTGAGGGACCTGCAGGAATCTCAGGGTGAGGGTGACGAGGACCCGAAGCCAGCCTGGAGCAGTGGTTCTGAGGAAGAAGGTGGAGAGCAAGAGCCCCAAGTGGCATTTTTTAGGCAGAACAAACAAGATGTGGAGGCTGCTAAGATAAAGGAAGTCGGGGAGGGGTGGGGGGAAGCAGTGAGCTTGCTGCAGCTGACCCCTGAGGCTTTAGGTCTGGGTGGCTGGAGGAATGGGGTTGTCCTAGACAGGAACGTTGCGGGGGAAGCCAACCCCAGGGCAGGTTGTGGCGCTGGGGGGCAGGCTCCAGGGAGAGGCAGGGGCTCTGCACAGCCCTCAAGCAAGGCCTGTACCTCCTAGGTCATGACTGAGCCAGAAATAAAGCCTTCCACCAAAAGAGACGGTCACATATTTTGAAATATTTAATTAGAAAAAGAGGTTTACACCTTTAAAATTAGAGGATTGTCAAAAACCATTTTAATACCTTTTACGTTTTGAGGTGGAATGATTTTTAATTAACCTTTGTGAGGTTAACCTTCTTCCTCCATTGAATCCCTGTTGTCCTTCATTTATACTGTTCTTTTTTTTTAACTTTTTATTTTGAAATAATTTCATACTTAACAGAAAGTTGCAAGAATTGTAAAAAGAACTCCTATGTGCTCTTCACGCTGACTCACCAATTATTAGCATTTTGCTAACATTTTGCCACATTTGCTTTATCTTTCCTTCCCTCCCTCTCCCCACCTCTCTCTAATGTGTGCAGATTTATCCTTTTTTTCCCTGAATGACCTGAGAGCAAGTTGCAGACATGATACCCCTTTCCCCAAATCCTTCAGCGTGTATTTCCTAGTAACAAGGACCTTTTCTTATATAACCACCATATAAACATCAAAATCTAGAGGAAATTTAACACTGATATAATTCTGTTATGTAATCTATAGTCACTCACATTTCGCCATTTGTTCCAGTCATTTCCACGTCTCTTTAGTCTCCTTTAATCTGGAACAGTTCCTCTAATTTTTCTTTTGCGTTTTAGGACCTTGCCAGTCTAGAAGACTAGAAGCCAGTTATTCTTTAGAATGTGCTTCACTTTGGGTTTGTCTTCCATTCTTTGTGACTGGACTCAGGTTGTGTGTTTTTGGCAAGAGTATCACAGCAGTGACATGTCTTTCTCAGTGCTTCATATCTGGAGGCGTGTGCTGTCGGCTTATCCCTTCATTAGTGGTAGTAATTGGTGGTGATCTCATTACGTGGTAAGGTGGTATTTGCCAGATTTCTAGACTCTTTGAAGTTACCACTTCTCCTTTGGAATTAATAAACCATTTGTGGGCAGCAGCTTTGAGACCACGTAAATATGACCTGTTTCTTCCTTAAAGTCCTTGTTTCAGAAGTTTGTGCACTTACTCTTTTTTCCCTTTTTAGATTATAAGGTCCTCGGGAGCAGAAATGTTTTTATTTGCTCCTTTTTGTTTAAGTCCATGGTTGCCATGCATTATTGAATCCCAAGAAGATAGTCTGTCAGCAGATATTTATTGTGTCAGGCTGGCGCTAAAAGGATGGGAGGTGGCTGACGACCAGAACCTTCCCGTGGATAGTATTCTCAGTCCAGTGGGGGGTGGGCAGAGGAAGAAGTGATAAATAAACAGATGACCACAGTACAGGTCATCCAACATCAGAGCTTGTGGGAGTCAGAAAGGCTTCCTGGGGACGGGACGACTGTGCCAGGACCTAAAAGGCCAAGGCAGGTGAGGGGGGAGAACATTAACTGCCAGAAATGCAGACTGCTTCCTGGATTTGTATGTTAAGCTTGTGCAAGGGATTTTGAACTGAAAAGAACCTGAGGAGTCATCTAGTTGAACTGCCTCATTTCATGCTCAAGGTTATTGAGACTCAGTGGTTTGGCGACTTGCGTAAGATCACTCAGCTCTGGAAGAGGCAGAAACCGGGGAGTAGTTATCAATCTACCTTGTCAGGAATAGGAAGGAGACATGGGCACGCTTGGCTAGGTATCCATTTTCCGTGGCACTAGGGAGTTGAGAGTGATAGAGAAATATAGTTGAACCCCTACGATGTGTTTTTACTCACAGAGAAACAGACATGAGAGGCAAATGAGAATTAAATATAGAATCACTTTTATTGCCTAAAGCACAGGATTTCCTAGGAAAGTTGGACTGAAGAATGTGGCTCGACATAAAGGCTGAAACAGGATTTCTTAATATTCCTTGCTCTCCATCCCCACCCCCGTCTAGAGCTTAAGATCTTCCTCTGGGGAGAGTTGGATGTGAAAAACAGACCCATCCCCAGCCGCTCTGAGCTCTGACCCTTGTGAGTTCACCACAGTGGGCCAGGAGCTGGGTGGCAGAAGAACCATCCAGAGGGCTGGACAGGCAGGAGAGAGGGGGGGAGCAAGCAGCCAGGCCACTCACCAGCCCAGCCCTGGTTTTGCAGCATCAACCACCTCACACCTTTTGGAGGAGAGAAATGTGGGTAGCAGCGAGGATATGGGGACAGTTTCCTTAACACACTGTATATATTTTTAGGAAGAATTTAAACAGTGTACTTGCTTCTTTGGTGGGATTGTAATGTCTTGTTAAATTCTGAAATTTAATCATCCGTACATTACAAACTATAATATGTGCGTGATCATCATCTTAAAGGTAATTTTAATCAATGTTTGAATGACACATTTACGAGAGTTACCTGTAAGTAAAAGTTGTTGATTAATCGAGCTTCTTTGCTATTGTCTGCTATTCCAAGTAAAACTTGCTTTTTATGTTTATACACTCACATGTACATAAGATAAACACATACATGTACATACATGTTTACATACGTGAGTGAGGTGTTCTTAGGATCTTTTAAAATATTTTCTTTTTTACCATGTTAATTTTTTTTAACATGAATTTTTCTGAATTTGTTATGGTCAGGCTCTTTTATTATCATTCATTTTGCAGCTAACTTTCTTAAATTTAAACTTTGGTTGGAATTTTTCTTGTTCCATTAAATAGTCGTTTACTAGGTTGTTAAGCCTATTTAGATTTTTTCTTAAGTATCAATAATTTATTGAATTCTTTGTTTGCCTTTAAGAGAATTGCAGAGGGCGTGGTTTCCTGTGTTGTGGGTCTTTGTTTTCCTACGTGCAGTTAATACCCATCTTTTCTGGCCGTGCTCCATTACAGACCATATGCTCCATTTTAGGCCTGAATGACCTTTCCTTTCTGGGATCAGAGGGCTCTTCTTGAACTCACTCTCCTGAGTCTCCAGTGGGCAGTAATCTGCTTATGATCTGCTTGCTCCCATTGCTGTAGCCTTCCCTGGAGTTGGCTTTTGATCTGAGGTCTTGCAGAGGAGCAGTCCTTTGTAGCTCTTGGAGAATACAAGATTATAAACAGAGATGTGTTGGAAAGCGGTTTCCCTAGAGGGTGATCGAGAACCGAATAAATCTCTACTGTAGGGTTTAACTATATGATAATAATTAAAGCAAAGTATAGAAGAGGGATAGTGCACAAAATTACCAGTTGTTCTTTTGTTGTAGGTTTGGTAGTAAGTGTTTGTCTGATGATATTATGAAAGCTACCACCTCCTGGAGTATATGGAACTTATACTAGTTTTTCCAAACCATTTCCCAACCAGTTTTGTACAACTGTTGGTCATTCTTTAAAAAAAAAAAAAATTTAAGCATTGGAATCAGTTGAGATGCATTCCTTAAACATATAGTAATTGTTTCCCCTTTTCTCTTATTAAAGGTTAAAACTGCTTATAAGTGTGCATGCGTCTTACGAGATACCATAAATCCATACCTGCTGCGGAGAATGAAGTCAGATGTCAAAATGAGCCTTTCTTTGCCGGATAAAAATGAACAGGTCTGTAAATCCAGGACTTAGCAAGACATTCCTGAAGCATGGGTGTACCTGTCCATTCAGTCTGCTTTTCACATGTGGGATCAGTGAGGCTAACAGGTGTGGTGGGTGGTGCTGTGGGGCAGGCTGATCTACATTTGTATCCACCTGCATGTGACAGGTGAGCCTGCCGTGGCATCTGCCCTCAGTGGGACTCTTCCTCTAGTCCACAGGCTTTGAACTTTCTCTTATTAACACACGGATTCCTACAGCTACTGCTTTTAAACTTCTCTGTTTTCCTCAAGCCCCCAGTTCATTTGTGCTACAAACCATATTAGGTGCTGACCACATTCCTGGGGGATAGCAGTGCACAAGGCAAAGGCTTGTTCTCATGGAACTCACAGCCATTCTCGAGGGGAGACAGAGTCATGAGTAAATACATCTGGTGGCAGGAGGCGATCAGTGTGGAGAAAAAAATGTGCTCTTTGTTTACCTCTGAGATGTGGTGTCATTTTGTTTTTTTTTTCTAATTAGAGGTACATTGTTAAAACTGCATACACTGTGCCTTTTTGATTAGGAAATTTTGTTGATATTTTAGTTATTTTATTATGTCAGTTTTTTTCGAAATTATAGTTTCTCTATTTTTTTCCTCTCCTGTAGGTCTTATTTTGCCGTCTTACGGATGAGCAACATAAAGTCTACCAAAATTTCATTGATTCCAAAGAAGTTTACGGAATTCTCAATGGAGAGATGCAGGTCAGCTAAATACTAGGAGCTGGAGACATGAATTGTGGACCAAGGGAAGCAGGGGAGGAAAGGAAACCAGTCCTAGTCAGGGATTCCCTCTTACCCGCTTAGAAACGTTTCAGTACGAACCTTAACTTAATTTGAGCCCTTCCAGAAGTAAGAGAACACAGGTTAAATTTCAGCACGCTCCCTTTTGTCTGCACTGAGCGCGGTTACCCTTGAACTCAGCACACGTGGGCTAGTGGAGGAACAGCCCCAACCAGCGGGTCTGCAGCGGGGCGGCCAGCAGGGCCTGCTGCTCCTGTGTGGGATGTAGGGAGGCAGCTGACTGCTGGGTTTGCAGGCACACGGAGCAAGAATTATTATTACAGATTCTTCTATAAGTGGTAACATTTTAGTTATTGGCAGTACTCAGCAATATATGTGGGTAAATGTCTGTTTGGTAAGCATATGTAGTAGATTTATAATTAGCGTTTAGTCTAAAGCTTCATGTAAACTGTTCAACTTCCTTGTGCTTCAGTATCTTAAAATGTGAATTGTGTTTTATTTATTTGATATGTAAGACTTCTTTAGTCCATCCTCGTTGGAGGTACAGCTGAGTAGCACAGTACGCTCTGAAAGGCACCTTTTCCTGGTTATACGAGAGGTAGATAAAGAGATGAATGCGAGTGACATGGCTGCCTGTGTTCCATAACATCTACGTACTTTTTTTCCTGAGGAAGTCATTCCATTTCTTGTAACCATTTCTCACAATTTCTCATGTCATGTATCATTGGCATCTGTAGGCAGTTTCTAAATCATTCACATATCTTCATCTCTCCTAAATCTCCCCTTGACTTACATCCGTGTGCCTCCAAGTTGTGAAGCCATAGGTGGTCTAGATTAGCACCAGTCAGTAAACAGAGAATGCAGGCCACATGTGTGATTTACACTTTTCTAGTAGTCACATTAAAAAAGGTAAAAAGAAAAACAGGTGAAATCAGTTTTGGTAATATAGTTTATTTAACCTGATATATCCAAAATATCATATGTAATATGTAATCAAAATTTAAAAATTATTGAGATAATTGACTTTTTTTTTTGGACTAAGTCTTTAAAATTGGGTATTTGACGTGTACAGCACGTCTCAGTTTGGAGCAGCCACACTCGTGCTCAGTGGCCACCTGTGGCTTGTGACCACTGTACTGTACGGCCCAGGTCTAAGAGGGAAAGAAGAGTCACAGACGACTCTGGGAGTTTTGACAAAGTTCCTGATCTGTTCAGATCTCTTCTTGTTTATTTGTTTAACTGTTGCTTACTGGGTAAAACTACCACACTCTGATTAGTGGCTTAATTTATGATTTCTCTCTTCTGCTTGAGTGTTTACACTGCTGAACTCGATTCAAGTCACACTCTAAAGCTGTGAAAGATGCCCTCTTGCTGGGCAGGGGGCAGGAGCTCACTCCTGGTCTCCTGTGCCCTCTGCTGTGTGAAGCATCCGTCAGATCTTTCCCATTTGTATTTTCCATGCAAATATGTTTTCTAATATACTGATGTAAAGGTAAATGGAGCTTCAACCTCTGCCTTATATATTAAACTACAGAACTTTTAGTGAGGGACTTAGGAGTGTGATAGTTAAATGCATTTGCATTTAATTTGAATTTAATTCATGTGCACATGACTTATTTCTCCAAATTTAGATGGGCATGGCATTTTTTTATTTATATTTAAAAGATGAGTTCGTTTTTTATGTGCTGTGAACTGCATACCTTTTTTCATAGTGAAAGAAAATAAGTCATCAGCAATTGAATATGACCCCGGTAGACATGTTCAGACCAATAGAATTTTTTTGTTTCTAGAGAACTTGCCCTGTCAGGAAAAGAAGATGAGTGAAGGTGGATTTCTTCCAGCTCCTAATATGCTGTGATTAGGGAGGAAACTAAGAGGCTGGTGAAGAGTGGCGTTTTAATCTGTGTTACACGTGGAACAGCCTCCTCCCCTTCCTTCCCTGGGAATATTATTTTATGTGGGGTAAATTCTGAGTGTATGTAATTCTTTTATACCATAGATTTTCTCTGGACTTACAGCCCTGAGAAAAATCTGCAACCACCCTGATCTCTTTTCTGGAGGCCCCAAGAATCTCAAAGGTATTCCAGATGATGAACTAGAAGAAGATCAGTTTGGATACTGGAAACGTTCTGGGAAAATGATAGTCGTTGAGTCCTTATTGAAAATATGGCAAAAGCAGGGTCAACGAGTATTGCTATTTTCTCAGTCAAGACAGGTGAGTATACAAACCTTATACAAGAAACAGTTGGTTCTTTGTGACTTGCAGCCATTACTTCAAAAAATAGGTTATAATCTAAAATAGTGATTCCAAAGCAAATCTGTCTGCTGATACTGAGGTGGCAGCCTGCCATCTCTTGGGAACTTGGATCTTTCTCTAGAGTTGGTGCCCAGAGGTTGGCTTTATAAAAAGGCTTACCATGTGATTCTGGGGTGCGGTGAGTTTGGGTCTGAACTTAAATAAATGCCCTGGTATTTACAAAACTTCTAAGAATTAACAGTAGGAAAATACAGGAAATATTCTTATAGTAGTTATATGTATCTGCCTCAAAGCAAGAAACTCCTTTTAATTTAAGCCTGTGGGGGAAGGTGTGACTCTGTTTACACAAATGTGGACGCCCTCACTGGAGGTGTATATTTGATTTTCCCATACTCTCTCTCCCAAACAGATGCTGGACATACTTGAAGTATTCCTTAGAGCCCAAAAGTATTCCTATCTCAAGATGGATGGTACCACTACAATAGCTTCAAGACAACCACTGATTACAAGATACAATGAGGTAACAAGTGAATATAACACTCAAGTCAGATAGTGCTGCTATAGCAGAGGGAGAGGAGGAGAGTGTCCACACCCACCTGAGCAGTGCTTCCATCTGGGATTGGGCAGCGCGGGGAGGGGGGCTTTCTGTTTTTGACTCTGTGCATTTCTGGATTATTGGGGGGGGGGTATTTAAACAAGGAATGTGTATTCCTTCTTGAAAACTCAATTTTTAAATATTGCTAATATAATAATATTGATATTAAAGTAGGAGTTGTGTGATGGGATTTATAACCCATTCCTGATATTGGGAACACATTTCTGTGTGTAGAATATGTAAAGGCAGAGGTGAAGGGCTGTGACCACTCTTCAGTGTGCATACTAAGTGTTGAGTGTCTTACCTCTAGGATACATCCATATTTGTGTTTCTTCTGACTACTCGAGTAGGCGGCATAGGAGTCAACCTGACCGGGGCAAACAGAGTCATCATCTATGACCCCGACTGGAACCCAAGCACAGACACGCAGGTCTGGTTTGTTTGGTTTTTTTTCTTTTGCAAGGAAGATCAGCCCTGAGCTAACATCCATGCCAGTCCTCTTTTTGCTGAGGAAGACTGGCCTGGAGCTAATATCCGTGCTGTCTTCTTCCACTTTATGTGGGACGCCGCCACAGCATGCAAGCCCTGGGCCACCAGCTGCAGAGCTCGTGCACTTAGCCACTATGCCACGGGGCCGGCCCCCGGGTCTGGTTTTTTTTTTAAGGAGTTAGCAGTGACATACAGTTTAATGGCTAGCACTTGGGAGTGTCCTTTGGTGCTTGTGTTAGCTCCAGGATATAGTTCCCATCTTGGTTGTCGCCTGGTCTTCAGCCTAGAGGAAGACACCCTCCAGCATCACAGACAGGAAGAGTCTTCCGCAGTTTATCCATAGTATCCATTGCTAGATCTAGGGTAAAAAGAGAATGTGCGAAGTTACAAAACACATTGTTTTTCAGGTAGACATGGCGAGGTCTGTGTCTGTCACCTCCCTGATAAACTTCCTTAATAGGTGTTAGGTGTATTTAGCCTCATTAGCCAAAATTCCAGCTTTAGGAGTGGAAGGAAGCAACCAGTTGTCTCTGTTTCCTTTAGTCAGTGCTTGTCACTGGGAAGGGCCCTAGTTGAGATGCCTCTCTCTGCCATAGGCCCGGGAGCGAGCGTGGAGGATAGGCCAGAAGAAACAGGTGACGGTGTACAGGCTTCTGACTGCGGGCACCATTGAAGAGAAGATTTACCACCGGTCAGTATAGATGGCTGCCTGCTCCTTGACTGGCGACTCCTTCCCTGGCTGGCAGAGTTTCAAGCAGGGAGTTTTTTAAAAGTATTGCTTTAAAAGGTCTTTTTATCTTAGAGCAATAGTTGTTGTAACTTGAGGGATATGTGATTTTTTAAAATTTTGTTTTCGTATTGTTTTTTCCTCATTAAAATATGCTTAGATGGCTTATTGTGAGTTTTTTAAAAATGTCTTTGAACCTGATCGTTTTTTTTCCTTATTAAATAAACTTAAAGGACTGCTTATGTGTAAACTTCATATTAATTGTTATTTGAGAGAAATGTTCATGCCTACTATAGTGTGCCATCTTCTTTAAGAAGTGACACAGTTGAAGCGCTAACATGTTGGTATTTACACACCCCACGCAGGTGTGATCAGCGTGAGTGTCCTGTGGTCTTTGGCTCAGATGCCCCGTAGAGAGAGGTTGCCCAGGACACATTTTTCTTCCTCCGTCTCTCTCTACAGTGACTAGGGGTGTAGGCGAGGGTGACTTGAACAGGAGAGTGGAGATAGTGCTCACTTCTCCCCCTCCCCTGCCGAAGACTACTCTTGAGCCGCACCCCAGCTCCTACAGGGAGGCTCCCTGCTTTCCACCATGCGCTGGGCCACTCCTGGAACAGCTCTTGTTCTTCAAGGGCCTTGTTGTGAGAGGGCTGCAGACGAATTGAATCCTGTGAGGGAGAGCTTCCTCTTAGAGATGCATGCCTTAGCCTGAAGGATAAGTGACTGGGAGGGGGCAGGATGCCTTTGTGAGGGTATCTGGGCAAGAGTGATGATGGTGTGGAGCGTTAGCATAGAGTGGATCAGCAGGTGGAAGCTGAGGGAGGTGGCTCCATGTGATAACTTTGCAGAGCCCCGTTAAGAGTTTCCTGAGCCCCATCCCAGGAGGGCCCTGACTGGGCTGGGCAGGGACCCTTGGTGCAGGAGTCAGGAAAGTTGTGACAGTCAGAGAGGCTGTGAGTCATGTGAATGTATGTGAAAAGATATTTCTTGAAATGTGATGAATCTTGGAGGTTGAGAAAGCTCATTGGGTGTAAATAATAATAAGGTATTATTTCTCATTTAAATTCTGTAAAACATGGGAGACCACCTGATGTTTTATATATTTCCTGAATTGTAATTTTCTAAGGCTAAAAGTGTGAGAATTATTTAGACATCGATACAGCTGTAGTTATCATATATCTCTTTTATATTGTTTTATAATTAGAATTTTGAGGTAGACCTAAGCATTGTTTCATGCCAGTTTAACTTTTATCTTTTTAGACAAATCTTCAAGCAGTTTTTGACAAATAGAGTGCTAAAAGATCCAAAGCAAAGGCGATTTTTCAAGTCCAATGATCTTTATGAGCTGTTTACTCTGACTAGTCCTGACGCATCCCAGAGCACTGAAACCAGTGCTATTTTTGCAGGTATTACAGAAAATAGTTTAACTGAAGGTAATAAATTACGTAAGAATTATGCAGTGTAACGTTAGCATGTTTTTCCCCTGTCCAGGAACTGGTTCAGATGTTCAGACACCCAAGCGCCATTTAAAAAGAAAACTTCAACCGGCCTTTGGAACAGACCATAACATTCCAATAAGCAGCAAGTTTCCTGACTCTAATGCATCTGCAAATGATGCCCCATCATCTGAAGAGAAATCCACAGCTCTAGGGGCTGAAGTAAAGGCAGTAACTTCTAATCAAGGGGATCCTTTGAAAGAGGTCCCTGAAACACCTGGTAATCTAACCAGCAGTGACAGACTTGGAGAAGAGACAAGTGCAGCGTCTGGACTAGAGGAGTTGCCAGTGATTAGTGGAAATGGGGAGTGTTCAGATTCTCCAAGAATCAGCAAAATGTCCAGGACATCTGGTGAGGAAAGCGTCGATGAAAAGCAAGGTCTTTCTGTCAAAAAAGAAAGCTGCCAGGTTCAAACAGAACCTCTTTGGGAGAGGGAACAAATGGAAAATAATTTTTATAAGCACAAGTCAAAAACAAAACACAATGTGGCAGAAGAAGAGACCCTGGAGAAACACCTGAGGCCGAAGAAAAAGCTGAAGAACTCTACGCATCGCAGAGATGCCAAGTTTGAAGGCACGCGGATTCCACACCTAGTGAAGAGAAGGCAGTACCAGAAGCAAGACGAGGATGAGCGTGAGCCCAAGGAACGGAGCCATGACGATTATGTTCTGGAAAAGCTTTTCAAGAAATCAGGTAGTCCTTCTGCTGAATCTGCCCCATGTGTGCTGGGAACAGAAAGGGAGCAGGCTGTTTCTAGTGGTAGCAGCCTTTCCTGACAGTGCAGAGTGGGTTCTCAACTGGAAGTATTTTTTCTTCTAAAATCCAGATTTGAAATGTATTGACAGTTTTGAGAATCATATTCACCTCTCTTCTCTGAAGACCTAGGAGAGTTTAGAAACTTGGGAGAACAATAGTACTCGACTTAATAACCACACGCAGCAGGGCTGCTGTGCTTTAGATAGATTTGTACCACCTGTACATTAATACAGAATTTCTCTACATGCTATGTTTGTCTGATTTTTAACCACAGGAGATTAAAGTAACAGATCATGGGCAGGGGGAGGCAGGGGCATGGCCAGAGGCAGCCACTCTGGAAGTAGGAAAGCTGATAGCTAATATCAGGGGGGAAAATGAGGAAAGTAGACTCAACAATTGCTCAGGACCCTGGAGGACAGGCAGTCCTGGGAGTGTCATCCTGTTCAGGCCTTGGCAGTTGTCATGTTCGCGGTGTGATGGCATCGCGTTACCAAAGATCGCTGTGTGTGGTTCTCTGTTCAGGAAGGCAGGTTTCTGTATGGCATTGCAGAAGGAAACCATCTGGGCCTGATGCTTTTTTGTAAGGTAGTTCATTGGTAAGTTCCTCTTTTTTTTCTACAGTTACTGGTCTGTTTTCCTAGGAAATTATTTTTGTTGTCTAGTTTTCAAATTTATTTGCATAGAGGCATAGAAAGTACTCTTGTAATAATTTTTTTTAATTTGCTTCTGTTTCAAGATAATTTCCCCCTTGTCATGTATAATTTTGTATATTTTCCCCCCTTTTTCCTTGATCAAGTTAAGCTAGTGGTTTGTCTATTTTTTGATTTTTTTTTTTTTTTTTTTTTTAGTAAACCAGGATTTTATTAATTAGATCCAGGGTTTTCTACCTCCTTAATTTTTGCCTTTATGTTTTTTTTTTTTCTAGTGAGGAAGATCAGCCCTGAGCTAACATCCGATGCCAATCCTCCTCTTTTTTTTGCCGAGGAGGATTGGCCCTGGGCTAACATCTGTGCCCATCTTCCTCTACTTTACATGGGACACCGCCACAGCATGGCTTGAGAAGTGGTGCGTCGGTTTGAGCCCGGGATCCAAATCTGCTGAAGCAGAACGCACGCACTTAACGGCTACGCCACCAGGCCGGCCCTTGCTTTTATCTTTATTACTTTCTTCCCTGTGCTTTTGTTTTTGTTGTTGTGTTTTGGTGAGGGGGGTTTTTGGCTTAATTTTTATAAAACTGTTTGACTTGGAAATTTGTTTATTTTTATTCTTTTATTTTTATTGATATAAGTATTTAAGGCTCTGATTTTTCCACTGATAACTGCAGTCACGTCTTCTGATATGTAGTGTTTTCATGATCATTACTTTTTAGAAATTCTATAATTCTGGTTTATATTTTTCCCTTCCACAGAGAATTTATTAATAGAAGGTTTTAAAATTTTCCAGATAGCCTGGAAGAGCTTATGTTGAAGTTGTGTTGATAAAGCATTGTGCTTCAGTTATTATAAAACGATAATTCATATTCTCAGAGGGTAGTGACGAAAGTGAATAGGCGGCGTTTATGTAGTTCTGGGTCATGGTAGTCACTCAGTAAATAGCAGCTAAAAAGGTTCATTATTTTTTCTCTACCCACAACACACTAGACTATACAAGAGGGAAAATATGATTGTGTACAAACTAAAATAACACATTTACTGCTTCCTTTGTTCTTGCTAGTCGGAGTGCACAGTGTCATGAAACACGATGCCATCATGGACGGAGCCAGTCCCGATTATGTGCTGGTGGAGGCGGAGGCCAACCGCGTGGCCCAGGATGCCCTGAAGGCGCTGAGACACTCTCGCCAGCAGTGTCTGGGAGCAACGTCTGGTGTTCCCACCTGGACCGGCCAGAGGGGGAGTTCTGGTGCACCAACCGGAATAAAGTGAGAGATGGCTGCCCTGCCATGCTTGTGAGGAGGCCAAACCACCCAGGCTAGGGATAAAGTTAGGGCAGGCGCGGATACTTATCCTGTTTATCTGCAGTAGTAGGAAGTCTCTCAGGGACGGATTGGGTCAGCCAGATTTGTGTGACTTGGGGAAATACCTTTGTAATCTTAAACCTTCCTTGCCTTTGGCCCCTGCTTTCCAAAGCTGATTTTTCAGGGTAAGGAGACGTGATCTGTTTTGTTTAAAAGATGATGTCGTTAAAAATAGTAAGGGAGGGCCGGCCCCTTGGCTTAGGGGTTAAGTGCGCGCGCTCCGCTGCTGGCGGCCGGGGTTTGGATCCTGGGTGCGCACCGACACACCGCTTCTCCAGCCATGCTGAGGCCGCATCCCACATACAGCAACTAGAAGGGTGTGCAACTATGACATACAACTATCTACTGGGGCTTTGGGGGGAAAATAAATAAAATTAAAAAAAAAAAAATAGTAAGGGATGCAGGGTAACGATTAAACTTTAATAAGATGATTAGCCCATTCTCAACGATCATAATTTACTGTGCTTTTTAGGATACTCTTAGAATCATTTTCCTACCTGGAATTTGAGGGTGGTTTCTATCTGCTGAACAAGGATATTGAGTGGTTCTTACTAGAGATGCAGCAGTTACTTCCCGGGAGAGTAAATTAGGGGAATCGAAGGGGGTAGAACAGAAGCGTCATGGTTGTGAAAGAAGAATCGTGCAGAAGAAAAATTTTCCAGGAAGAGTTTAGTTGTTGAAAGGACATTTTCATCTCTAAGTCACAACAGCAAACAGTTTATCTACTATGATTCTTTTCCTTGTTTAGGAGCAGATTTGGTCAGAAAAGGAATTCCAGCTTCTCTGTGCAGCATCCTTCTTCAACATCTGCAAAGGAGAAAGGCCAGGTAACGTGATAGCCTCTGCTTCTTGGGTGTGGGACAGACTGGCTTGAAGTGCCATGAAGATTTAACCCAGTTCCAGATGTGAAGCAAATCGTGGCATAATAACACTTGATATTTGTATTGTGTGCTCTGATTTTTGGAGCACTTTGATTTGAATCTAAAGGAGCCGGCTAACTTCCTAAAAGACAAAGTCTTTAACCCAAGATCTATAGCAGAATCTCTGTTTTGCCCTCAGAAAGTTAATACAGGGATAGGTGATGTGTGAGTCGCTGCCCATACAGCCTGCCCCATCAGAGGTGAAGTGCCAGCTCCAAAGACCACTGCCCTCTAGAATAAAGATCTAGAAAACTGCCTTGAATGTTACTCATAATTTCCTAGCTCCTACAGCGTTGTGCCCATCTCTCCCTGTTCTGTAACTCCCTGAATGCCTTTGGTGCTTCACTGAGAGTGAGTACGAGGCCAGACTCCATCATTCAGCACTCTCTGGTCGTTACTGGTAAAATTTGAAATCTCCAGTTACAGGCTCCTATTTTAGATTAATATGAACCCATTTAGGAATAGAGAACCTTTCTTGACTTGCCATGTTCTTTTAGCAGTAAGGATGTGAAAAAAAGTGAGATTTGTGTTGTTGTTTTAAGAAAACTCACATGAGGTGTAAAGTAGGAAAGAATAAAAAGATTTAAAAGTGAAGAAGAAAAAGTACAGCTGGGATATTGTTTCTTATCCCATACTGCCCAGATCAGGGTGAATCTGGGAGGAGGAACAGGAAAAGCCCACGGAATCCGTGCCTCCTAGAGACGGTTTTCCTAGCAGCCTTCTCTGCCCATCCCCGTCCGCTCTGCCCTCCCTCCACTCACCCCACTCAGAGTGGTGACCAAGTGAATAGTGTAGTCTTGAGGGTTTTTTTAGGAAATGTTCTTTGATAGTGGGTGGATTTACATGCTTGACTCTCCTTTCCCTTTTCATTAGACAGTGTCTCATTCTTTCCCCATCAACTGTACCGCTCTGGCATGTGGGTTATTTATGGCCCCTCAGCCTTTGGGGAAATAAGTGGAAGCATAAACTAAAAGTTAAATATATCAATGCAGTGGTCTTTTTTCTCTAGGATGGCATCATGAAAAAGGATGGAAAAGATACTGTTTCTGAGCATTTTAGTGGAAGAGTGGAAGATGCAGAGTCTTCCTCCGGGGCCCTCAGTTCGTCCTCACTGTTGGCTAAAATGAGAGCTAGAAACCACCTGATTTTGCCAGAGCGATTAGAAAGTGAAAACATGCACCTCCAAGAGGCTTCTGCTCCACCGCCCCCCACCACAGAGCACGATGACCTGCTGGTAGAGATGAGAAACTTCATTGCCTTTCAGGCCCGTGTGGATGGCCAGGCCAGCACTCGGGAGATACTGCAGGAGTTCGAGTCCAAGTTATCCACGTCACAGTCTTGTGTCTTTCGAGAGCTGTTGAGAAATCTGTGCACTTTTCATAGAACTGCTAGTGGTGAAGGAGTTTGGAAACTCAAGCCAGAATACTGCTGATCATCATTACTTTCTAAACTTATAATTGACTTTTTCTAATGGGAATTTCTGATTATTAATCCTATGATTAATAATCATATATTTGTCGACGGAAGTTGGCTGCATTTGATGTTTACTTTGAATGCTATCTACCTCATAATTAAAACTTTAAGGAAGAAGAAATTCTTCTCAGAAACCTAAATGTTTTAAAAATAGTTGCATTGATATATTTTTTTTTTTGGCACTATGAATTATGTTACAAAATCAGGGACCTAATGGTTAATTCTTGGAACACATATGTTTCTTTACCCAAAAGATGCTGTCAGGGAGCATATTACTGCTCATTTAGAAGTTTATAGACCAGAAATCTCAAGAATTCTTTCTCCTGGTGCTAAAAACATGTCTTATATTCGATCAGACCCGTTCAATAAATTAGTTCATCAATACCTGATAATAGCATCATTTTTGGTGCGTAGCTTTTAAATGTTATCATTTGTCACCCCAAAAAAGATCAGATTTGTTATCTTTTGAATCATATTAATTGCCTTTAAACGATCTTCCTTTTAAGGTACTGTTAGATTGGCGGGTAGTTTTATTAGTAAAGCATGAAATAGCTTGGTAATAAATGATAGGACATGTATTTGCAGAAAGTTGTAGTGTCCTCAGTTCCCACTGGCTTTACATTAAGCAAAGGGCGTCTTTTCCTCCCTACAGTGACTGTTGGTTTTAGGAAAATGCAATGTATTATCTTAAAAAAAAAACTCAAGCAGAACTAAAAGTTAAGTACAAATAAAACAACCAGCACACACACATGCACGCAAACATCACTCCAGACCACAGCCGGATGTCCCGTCGTTACCACCACTGCAGCCCTCTCTCTCTCTGCTTACGTGCTGGGAGGTAGCGTTGAACGTTTTTTATTTTATTCATTATTTGCTTTTCCAAGGACACTGAGTACTTGATATTAGGCAGCATTGTTCTCGTCACATCTGCTGTCCAGTCGTTTTCGTCTCCTTTTCCTTTGATTCCCTGTGAGTCTCCTGTTGAAGAGGCTTGGTTTTCAGCTGCATCTCTTCTGTTTCTGGCTGTTGTTTATGGATTTATAGTTCTGTGATGGTGTTGTTTTGTTCCTCGGTTTGTTTTTCTTGTTTCCTTCTCATTGTTATTTTATCATCTCAGCTCTGAAGTCTTGTTTTCTTAAATTCATTATATTCCTTCCATTTCTTTTTGAGCTGTCACAGTGCAATTTGTTTGTTTCCTGGGTTTCTTTTCTCTGGCTTGCTGTTTTTCCTCTCTTTGGCTTTTCTGTTTTATGTTGCCTTCCTCCCATGCCATTTCCTTACATCTTGCTCCTGCTGAAAGTGAGTGGCTGTGTCCAGACCTTCTGTATGCGCTTCCCTGCAACCCGGAGGTAAGGGGTGTGGGCTTGGGGTTGGGAAGAGCCTGTGCCGGGCAGCGTGCAGCTTTGGTTGGAGGACTGGGTTTTACTTTTCTGTTCTGAGATTTTAAGTAGCTTGGGCCAAGAATCCCTCCCCTTAGACAGGGGATGTCAGAGTCAGAGTCATGATTCCCACCAGGATTTTCTTTTGCTTTTTTTGGATTGTGGCTTGTTCATTTTTTTCTGTTTTAAGAGTGATTCATTATATTTAGAGGAGGAAATTCTATTATTTTCTTCATTCTGCCATCGTTATCTAGAAGTCGTAGAAGGGATTTTAAACGGGTCAATAAATCCTAAACTTGAGCACTTGGCTCAGAAGAGAGTCAAAACTCATGACTATTTTGTTTCTGGAAAGTTCTTTTTTTATTTTTACTTTTGCAACCATTAGCCATTAGAAGATTGCATCCCACTTGTTCTTGGATTGAAGTACTGAGGCATTTCACGAGCATGAAGTGTTTGGACATCATCGTCTGTACTGTCTGCAATCTAAACTGTGCTGAGCTGGAGAAGTTGTAGCCTTCTCGTCAAGTAGAAGATGCCATCACAAGTTATGGTGCAGTAGAAGCAAGGTGGCTCTCACTCCAGTTCTTGTCACAGCTGTGCCACTGGCATGCTGTGTCCTTGGGTAGGTCACTGCCCTATAGACGTTGTCATCATGCCTCCGGGTGGAGAGACTTAGAGGAAGATGCTCTAAGTGGAATGGTTTAAACAATACAGAGTAACTTACTCATTTAGATAAAATCTAATTTTTGGAACTTTAAAAGCTTTGTACAATGTAGATAGATTTAATGTATGTAATTTAACATGTTGTATCAGTATCAAGCTACAAATAAAGGATTTTAAAATTTCACAAAATTTTAAAAATTCCTTAGGTAATACACGAATATATTGTCACTCTTTACAAGTTTTCACGCAATACTCTCCCTCCCCACCCTCTTGCTCCTGTCCCAGAGATAAGTACTGTATTTGGTGTGTATTCTTCCCGCTGTTTTCCGTGCATTTACAAGTGCATGTGGCAGAGACTGCTGCTGTAACGTCTGTTTCCCTCCTGAGTTCTACCTGGACAGGGGCTGCTCAGCTGAAGACTCTCCTTCCCAGCCCCCCTTATAGTTAGTTGTGGCTGCATGACCAGTCAATGGGATGCGATTTAACTTCCAGATTAGCCCTTAAATAAGAAATCGGGTGCACACTCCTCGTGACTTCCTCTTGCTTGCTTGCTGAGATGCCTGTGGGTGCTTAAGCAGTGACGTGGGATGGACAGAAGTCACGTGTTGAGGATGGAGAAGTTGGCCTGCCGGTCTTGAACTGCTTGCTGTTCACCTGTTTCTTAAGAGCAAAATAAATTCTGACTTGTTTTAAACCGCTGTCGTTTGGAGTCTCTTTTATTACAGCAGCTAGTTTTGTTTTATATATGTGATTTACATAAATGGGATTATATCATCATCATTAACTTGCAACTATTCATTTAACAATATATGCAAGATATCTTGCCATTCCTGTAATATACCTTCATGGAATTGCTGGATTAAAAATTATGTAGATTTTTAATTTTAATGGATGTAGCGAAACTGCTTCCTTCAATTCACACTCCACGAGAGGACCTATTTCTCCACACCCTTGCCAACAGTAGGTAGTACCCATCTCGGGAGGGTTTCTTTTTTTTAAGCAGTCTTGTGGTTTGAAAATGTTTTAACTTGAATTTCCCTGATTACTTACCAAACCAAATATTTCCATTTTTTTTGGCCATTTGTTGACCCTCTGTTGTATGTTCCCTGTTCATGTCGTATTTGCCTAGTTATATTATTGGTTATTTGTCTTTTATGGTTCCTCTCAAAACAAAAATGAAAAGGCAGTTGTCCCAACTGTTATTAAATAGTCCGTTCTTTTCTCCACCCACTTGAAATGCCCAGTTTATCATCTGCTAAGTTTTCTGTTTCTGGACAGTGGGTACAGATGTGTCTTGTGCCAACCACAAGTCTTCAGTCTCATTTGCCTTTGCACTGTTTTCCTACCTATAGGCAAGTCCCTCTTCCTTTTTTTCCCTCTTCATTGTCTCATTCATGTGCACTTTCTGTTTCAGGTGAATCTTAGAATCAGTTTATTAAGTTCCAGTAAAATTGTGTTGCTCTTTTGATTGGGATTGCATTAGTTTATACATTAATTTGAAGATGATAGACTTCTTTATAATTAATATAATTTTTCCCATTAGTATCATGAGAGGCCTCGTTTTATTAAAGTATTTTATATTCTTGGATAAAATTCTATTACCTTTCTTCATAAAGGTTTTGCACATTTCATAATAGGCTTATTCCTAGGTATTTTATAGGTTTTTAGTTTTGGTTGGGGGCCTTTTTACTTTTACATAAAAATGTAGAGAATTAGAACATCCATGTATCTCCCTTGTTTACGATGTTTATTATACAGAATTTTTAAAAATATAGTCAAATTCATTCTTCTCATGTTTTGTTTTGTTTTCTTATTTAAGAACTCCTTTCCTAACCTAAAGTCATGACTTGTTAGTGCTGTTGAGTTGACTCCAACTCCTAGCGACCCATGTGTACAGCAGAGCAGAACCCTGACCGGTCTTTTTGCGCCGTCCTCTCACCTTCCAGCGCTCTATCAGACAATGCTCTGCTGCTCTTCATAGGGTTTTCATGGTCACTTTTTTCGGAAGTGGGTAGCTAGATCCTTCTTCCTAGTCTGTCTTAGTCTGTCAGCTCTGCTGAAACCTGTGTACCATCCGTGACCCTGCTGGTATTTGAAATACTGGTGGCATAGCTTTCAGCATCACAGCAACATGCAGCCACCACAGTGTGACAACTGACTGATGGGTAGTGTGGTTCCCTGATCGGGAAACAAAGTCGGGCTGTGGTAGTGACAGCACTGAATCTTAACCACGAGACCGCCAGGGCTGGCTAAAAGTCATGATTACATTCTCATAAATTCTGTATAGATAGTTATTTTTTCCTAGTACCTTTAAAAAAAATGGTTCATTCTTTCACTCCTGGTTCGTAAGGCCACTTCTATCGTTATATCCAATTTCCATGTGATTATGGGAATGTTTCTGGGCTCTGTATTCTGTTAAATTGGTCCACTTATCTAACTTTGCAAATAACCCACTGTTTTAATTATTGTAGCTTTATAATTGGCTATTGTATGTGGTAGAATGATCCCCCTCATCTTCCAAAAATGGCTTAGTTCTTAGACATTTGTTCCATATAAATTTGAGGATAAGCTTGTCACATTTGGATTTTCTTGTTCTTTTCAAAGTTTTAATGACTGTACAGATTACTCGGGGATAATTATTTATGATATTGAGTTTCTCATCTATGAATAGGGCATATCACTCCATTTATAATACATATTTCTTATAAAGACACAATTCTATTATGTTTTTCATAACATCTGTGCCAATCATCCTCCACTTTATGTGAGACGCCACCACAGCATGGCCTAACAAGCGGTGCAACGGTGCGTGCCCGGATCCGAAACGGCCGCCAGCAGCAGAGCGCGTACACTTAACCACTATGCCACGGGGCCGGCCCCCTAGAACATATTTTTTATCAGAATCTTACTTCAATGCCCAAATGGCAAAAGTTCTTTCAGAAGTTGAATTTCACTTTCCCATTCAACGTGTTCTGCTGTGAAATCACTGGGAACATCATTTATGCAAATGGTAAAGGGGAGGTAACCTGACAACTGAGTCACACCCAGGGGATGTTTTATGCCTCCATTGGCACAAATGTCAGAAGTGAATGCAGACAAAATAACTACCTAGAGATAAAGAAGGACACACTAACATTTTAGTCTATTGGATATCTTTTAATCCTCAAATTAATGGTGGGGGTAGAATTTTGAAAGTGTTTTATCTGGAGACTAAAAATTACACTTTGCTGAGCAAGTAATCTGAGACAAAAATGGAAAAATAATTTTCACTAAAAATAGGAATGAAATTATGGAGGTGAATAATCTAAAGAATTATGCAGTAAGGATGAAAGGAAACTCATCTCAGTCCATCTTAGAAGAAATTCTTCATAGTTCTGTGATCACCTGGCCCCTAGTATATTCAACCAAGCAAGGGCAACCTAACATTTGCTTCTGAATGTTTCCCCTTAGGTGTATTGTGAATTTCAGATTTGAAAACTTTTGTTTTGCATATTTTTCATTTCCTGTTTTGTGGA